AGCCAAGGCTTGATCAATACGGCGCCCCTTAAGTGTCATGAGTGCTGCGGCGGCTGGTGGCGTTGCGAGCACAAGATGGGCATAAAGGCGCGGGCCGCATGCTGCGTTGGCAGGTTGGTACAGCAGTGCTGCGGCGTTGCGATGTCATAAGGGGTCATAAGGTTGGCAAGGCCATATGCTGTTGCTGATGTCATACAAGATGCCGCGCTGATGCTGTTACGGCAATGGGCATAAAGGCATTGATGTTGCTGCGATGGCTGCGATGATACACACAAAGTGCGCGCGCGGCCATATGTCATAAGGGCAGCGTGCGTGCGTGCGTGCGTGCGTGCGTGCGTGCGTGCGTGCGTGCGTGCGTGCGTGCGTGCGTGCGTGGGTGGGTGGGTGGGTGGGTGGGTGGGTGGGTGGGTGGGTGGGTGTGTGTGTGTGTCATCCGGTTGCGCATTTGGACTCCGAGGGCCGAAAGACTGAGGTCCTCCTCACGTTGTCAACCTGCACCGTTCCACCAACTCCTCAGATGCCCAAGGCTCGGATCCGAAACCCCGAGGGGCAGTCGGGCATGTGGATCTTGAGGGTACCATTTTGTGGCTCTGCTTGGTGAAACCGAATGGAAAACCACAGGTCTTGGGATCCATGTTCTTGGACACATACCCATGTCAAAAACCAAACAAATTGCAGGACCGTCTAATGATGGCGGGGATCGTTCCCACTAATCTCCAAGTCCCCAGGCATTTGCATTGGTTCAGGGCAGCCCCAAAACCCTAACCTGGTGATGATGCTTGGCCCCCTTACAATCCTCTCCAAACCAAGGAGGACCTCGCACCAAGCAGGTTGGTCTTCCCACGGGGATCTGTGCACCAGGCCATGTTGGCAAAGACAACTCCTCACTTCGACAAGGGTCGCTGCTCAGTCGATGGGAAGAGCAAGAGACGGAGCAGTGGAAAGCGGGAGCAAGGGGAGGGTGTTTGGGAGGGTAGATATGGGTTCCCATTGAAAATACCTTGGCTTGGCTTGGCCACAGCCTTTGAGTCGATACCAAGCCAAGTATCTCAGCATGTTCTGTGCAAGGATCTTCTTCAAGTAGGGCAGAAAGAGGTGCTCCTGCCCACAAGCAAGGCAGCCAGAAGAACTGAATGCGGAAACCTACCCATAAAAAATGCGCAACATTACCCGCTTACTCGCCTCAGGCACATCAGCATTGCCTAGTCCTCGTGGTCGAAGACCACGGAGTCGAAACTCGCGAAGTCATGCTTGGCCTGAGACGCTCACAAATGAGACTTTTCGGAGCCTTTACCAGGTGGCATGGCATCACCTCTTTCAACATCACCCCACCAAAGGAAACCCACATCAAAGAATTCCAATGGTTTCAACAACGGTATGTTGAAACCATACAAAACAGGGAAATGTAGGGACCACCCGGGGTCCCTAGTCTTGGGTTTGTGTGAATTAAATGGATTGAAACTTTGGGAACCACCTGTTGGTTGGCCTTAAATGGAAACCAAAAGGAAAGGGGGGTCCCCTATTTAAAAAAAAAAAGACAAACCCACATGGTTGTTCTCTCTACACCGGCCGTAGTCTTACCTGCTAAGTTGGCAGCAAACTTCTGAACTCACCTTGGCGACAGCCTCAAACGTTCAGCCACTTCTCCCTGGCCGGATGGAAAGAAGTGGCTAAATGCTCAAACAGGTCGTAATAGGTCGTAACAATTCGTCACCCGTGTTGCCTTTTGTTTTTATTCTGACATCACCTTTGGTTTGCCAAGCTTGAAGCTCCATCTCGGAGAGATGCTAAGGTAAGATGGGAAGCCTTTCGAAGCCCCGGATAGCTGTCGCTGGTCTCGAGGTAAGACTCTCAGTCAGTTCTCTGGGGCTTGATCAATACTGAGAGAAAGGGCCCGCAAATGACGGGCAGCTTTCCTCATGTGGTCGAACTGTTTTTATCCTTTTAGTTGTTTCCGCAGTGGTCATCCCGTGTTCACCTGACCTTTTGATCAACCCCCGTCTGCCTTTCGGTTGGACCCAGGTCAAACTGCCTTGATCTCCTCCAAGAATTTGGAGAAGTCCATCTTCCCCGGCAGCAGCATGGGAACCCACCTGACGCATTCGAATGGACAGCCCTTGTTGCTCCCATGTTTTGGAGGGAGACCGGGAGACCTGCTTTGTTTCTAAGACGCGTGCCGCACGTCCAGGCCCTTGGTGGCGTGGGCAACGATTCCTGAGCTGAATTCAGTCAGTTCTCGAAGACCTTCCCAAAGCTTAGGGTCTGGAGGCCAATATCGGCCGAGGCTCTCTTGGCGGCCGTCAGCCACTCCTTGTTGCCCTCTGTGCTGATGATCCTTGGGCAAGAAACAAAGTCAAGGGACCGGCACGGAGGAATTCCTTCCTCAAACACCTTTCTGGTGCTTCTTCCATTTCAGCCACCGAAACTCACAGCGAGAGCAATAAAATGTTGGACACTTCACTCTGATTCCCGAAAAAACAAGGGAGTAGACTCCCCATGTCCTTTTTGCCCGAGCAACACTCCTTCAGTCACCCTGTGTATCTGTTCCTTGCTGAGGGGCGTGCTGCCAGGCCGATCCTTGAGCGCCTTGATAATGCTCAGGGTTCCATCTCCTGTCGCGGCGATTGCAGTTTTCTTCTACCAACATGTTCATCAAGTTGTACGTGAAAAAGCTCAAAACAGGGAACCCACAAAATGGATGGGGCGCCCGTTGGTTTCCTTTCAAAACAAGCCCAAAATGGGCACCCTTAAATGCAGATACACCCTTCTAGAGCCACGATCAAAGTTTCTCAGGAGGACATTGGGGAAAAGTGAGTCCCTGTTTTTTGCGGAACATTTAGAGCTCGTTCCCCCTTCTTGTCCCTCCCAAAAAATTGGACCAGAAACAAATCAGGACATCCTGGCAAAGACCCCAGTGCCTGGCAAAAACCGGGGGGGGGGGGGGCTGCTTTTTGTTTGGTACTAGTAGCTGATTTCAAGGGGAGCCGCCAAAGCAGGCCACCGTAAGTTTGGGTCAAGAGGCTGACCGCAAGTCCCGGACAAGAATCAAGAGCGCTAAAGCGACGCAAAGGGGGAAAGGGGGGTGGGCACCGTTTGATTAGCAGGGTTACTGCCGCTAGTACTCCTCCTCCTGCTACTTCTACTACTGCTTTTGCTGCTGCTGCTGCTACTACTCCTACTACTACTACTACTACTACTACTACTACTACTACTACTACTACTACGACGACTACTACCACCGCCACTACCACCACCACTACTGCAATGCTGCTACTTGCGTATTATTACTACTACTACTGCTACTACTACTGCTACTACTACTTCTACTACTACTACTACTACTACTACTACTACTACCACTACCACTACCACTACCACTACCACTACCACTACCACTACCACTACCACTACCACTACCACTACCACTACCACTACCACTACCACTACCACTACCACTACCACTACTACCTCTAGCACTAGCACTAGCACTAACACTAGCACAAGCACTAGCACTAGCACTACCACTACCATTACCACTACCACTACCACTACCACTACCACTACCACCACCACTTTCTACCACTACCACCACCACCACCACTACCACTACCACTACCACTACCACCACCACTACCACTACGACTACCACTACCACTACCACTACCACTACTACTACTACTACTACTACTACTACTACTACTTCTACTACTACTACTACTTGCGTATTGGAAGAAACCAAAACCACGGAGTCCCAAACTGTCTTTTCGCGCCTGCATGGCAGCCCAGCTCCAACACCACCGCTGCGCCCTCAGGCTTTCCTTTCCTGAGTCCGATGGCCCATGGGTCTTGGCTTTTGTACACCAAAACCCGTATGGGTGGCTCGTCTTTTCTTAGGGGACCCCCAAAATATGGCTGCGGATTTCCTTTTGGCTTCCCTTTAAACCAAGCCCAAAAAGGCTGCCCGCAAAAAATGGACAGACCCATACACTCAGATTCTGTCTCAGTTTAGTCAACCTTTGAATCTCGCATGTTTTCTGAGGAGACCCAATGCTCGTGCCAAGCTTCCGCCATATCCTAGAAATCAACTCGGGAATCAAAGCACCCTTGGGATCTTCGTTGCCAATGCGCAGTTCGCCACGGGTAAACTCACCACGAGGCCCCCCCCATTCACCCAGGTTGCTCCGAAGACGCAGTTAGTGTAGAAAATTGGTTTAAAAAGGATGAACATCCTTTCTTGACCCCGGGACCAATTTTCAACAAAAAAAAACGTGGGTTGGGAGCAATGCACAATTGGGGTTCAGGGTCTATGGGCCGAAAGGATCTGACGCCCTGCAAAAAGTTTACTAGTTAGGGGAAATTAAACATGCCAAAAACCGCCAAAGAGCGAAACAAGGTAAGCTAAATCTAGGCATGATGACAGTCCTGGCTGACTAACAGGGCCATCCAGATCACGTGAAACGCTTTCACATCCGGCTCCAATTGAAGCCAAGCCTCTCCACTGAGTCCGCGATCGTCTGGCCTATCGAAAGTTGGTGCCTCCCATGGACTTGTGGGTCCAAAAATTGTTTTCACTACGCACTGTTTTGCAAGATGGCCTCGCGTCTATTGGTCTATGGCATCACAAGTAAAGTTGGCCGCCAACTTAACCCTGCCGAAAACGGCTGGGCGGGAAGACATGTTTGTCGAGCCTATCGGTTGTGGCTTAAACCCACCTCTGGACCGATGCGAAGTACTGAACAACGCGGACAATATTCAGAACAGAACAGAACAACACGGATTTGGGGCGCACGTCCTCTTTGCCACAAATGATGACGGCAAGTGTCAAACATTGCTCATATGATTCGGCTAAGGAGCCTTTCTCTGCTCCCAGGTGCATTCCCAGCTGCTGTTGCTCACCTCGGAGTGCCGAGCAAATAGTTACGTACAGGTAACCTTTTCAGGTTCGTTGAAAGGGAAACCAAAGGAACATCCAGCATTTCGGGGCTGCTTCTTTCTTTGACGCACACCCAACAGCAAGAACGCTACAAGCAGCGCTCGCCGAGATCACTTTCTATCTCGCTGGCTTTTGGCGGCGTTGCGCTGGCGGAGCTGGCCATCAGCTGCTTTCTGCTTTCGAGTCCGGCAGACGCTAGGGTCAGTAGTCAGGCCTCGCGCAGGACCATCCTGCAGGTCGCGCCGGTCTCGCACCGCGGGGGCCTTGGAAGGCCCAGTTCAGCTTCAAGGAGACGTGCTTCGAGGCCACGAAGTCTTGCTGGAGGTACACTTCAGGTACGCCAGTTGGCAACCGTGCAAGTCCTTCTAGCTTGGAATCACCAGGCCATTCATCTTGGCCTCACTTGGTCTGGAGAAAAGGGCTTGCTACTTAATTTTGCTGAGGTTATATTTAGAGCGGCGTATTACACGTTTTAAACCCCAGAGTCAACCAATGACCAAAACACCTTGTCTTGTTGATTGAGTTCCTTTGTGGGAACCCCTTCAAGAAAGGGAAAAGTGCAAAAGCCACTAAGCATTCGGACGTGTTGCAATCGCACGTGGAGTCCGTCCGTGAATATCCGGCGCGTCAAGGTCCTCGGCCGGTTGGACGCCGAAAGAGACGTGAACCTAAATACCCTCCTCCGGAGAAATCAATGCAAATTGTCCTAATTCCCTGTCCAACCGTCACCCTGTTTGGGCCTAGACCAGTTTTGGGGCCTCCCAAAATTCCATCTGGGGATGGCAGTGGTACCCCTGTGGAAGACTGTTTGAATGGGGCACCAAAGCGACACCACAGGAAAGCTGGGACAAGCGCCCTATTTTGGGAGTTCCCTGTTTTGAGGGAAACTCATCATAGGAACCTTAGCCTCCGGAGGTAGGGTCAATTCGCCCGAAACACGAGGCCTCCAACCATCATACCCGCTAGCACTCTTTCGGGACCTGCACACAACAGGCGGTTGCCCTGTGGCCACACTGAACTGCACCAAACCCGGAATTGACCTGCAGTAATATCCCCACAACTAGTTGGTCACGTGAAAGGACATCACAGAAAGATTGCTCAAAAGAGTTGGCAACGCATGGCACCGCAGGAGGAAACCCTTTTCAGGCTGGTTGAAGGGGAAACCACAAGGAAAACCACAATTTGGGGGTACCCGTCCCCTTATACCCATGGTTATAACCTACTCATTAAGTTGCTTGAAGTAGAAAAGCCCGGCCACATCCTTCCAAAGGGCAAGGTGTCGCGCCAGCAGCGCAAGGCAGGGCCCCTGCGCCCGCAGGGCCGCCCAGTGGGCTGCGCTGCGGCCCAGCTCGTCCAGCCTCCGGACAACTTCAAAGACACCCCCACGGGCTCAAACACAACAAACAAACAAAACAAACACGCACACACACACACACACACACACACACACAAAAAAAAAAGATAGCACCAAATAGCGAACGGACGAACGGACGAGAGAACGAACAAACACACGAACAAACAAACGAACGAACGAACGAACAAACCAACGCACAAACAAACAAACAAACAAACAAACAAACAAACAAACAAACAAACAAACAAACAAACAAACAACAGCACAAAATAGCGAACGGACGAACGGACGAGAGAACGAACGAACGCACGAACGAGGAAACGAGCGAACTAGCGAGCGAGCAAGCGAGCCAACAAGCAAGCAAGCAAAAAAGCAAGCAAGCTACATCACAAACACGCAAACCACAAGCAAACCAAGCAAAGTGCTCAAAGAACCCCCTGGACAAACAACACGTTTGGAGGAATATCGTTTTGGATGGCGTCACTTTGGGATTGCACACAATTTGCACCTGGTAAAATGTTACATGCAAATCCTGCTTTGAACATGCAGGCGTTCAACCTTTAGTTTGATACATTACAATTGACCCTCAGAGGGGCCGTATGTTTGGCAACCCTCAAACACCCCCCCCCCCCAAGGGAGACCAAGCAAGTTGTACGTCTCGTTTTCAGCCAACATTTCGTTCCCCACCAGCTCCCTCACCCCCCCCCCCCCCCGCCGTTCCCCGCGCGCGCGGAGCATCAGCAGCGCGTCCAGCAGCGCCACATGGCCCTCCCCCGCCGCCAGGAACAGCGCCGTGGCCCCCGAGCCCTGCGGATGGGCCCTCCGGAATTTTTAGGACCCAGCGAATTGTTCGGCACCCAAAACCTGAAACCCAAATGTGGATTCTGCACCTTATTTCCGCACAATATGTCCAAAACCTGAAATACGATTTGGATTCCCCGGGTAAAGGATCTTTACCATAGGTAGCCACCGGGACATGGGCTTGCCACCCTTCAAGCAAACAGCAGAAAGATTCCGAAGTGTTGCCCATAAAGGCTTGCCTGGGGAACGCAGTTGATTTTATACAGTTGAGCAAAAATAAATGGCACAATTCCCGTGTTGATTCAGTCATGCCTTTACCCACCTGAACAAGGGGAATTGTGCCATCTGCATTCGCCTAAGTAAAGCCGTAAAGCCCCAGTAAATTTTCTCGGGGGCCTTTCAGTCATACCCTTTTGAGGTTTCAACCAGCATCAAGGTTCATGGTTACAATTCCCACTTTCACAAAAAGTCGGGGGACCTTTTGACGATAGATGAACAAAATGCGCTCAGCAGGTTTGTCGACAGTTGATTCCCATGAAAAGTTCCCCTTCAGGACCCAGACATGACCCTGAAAAACCGACTTTGAGGATCACAGAAACACCGGTGACCACAAAAACCACCAAGCATCCTCCAATAGAATTGGGACCCCCAATAGAGGCAAGGATTGTCGGTCGATTGTGATTGACATCTATCTCCGAACAACTCAAAATACCAAAACTATTTCAAAGACATCCAAATCGCAAACCGCCAATCCACCAGGTTTGCAACAATCGAGCAAATCTCCAAACAATCGATCATGGTCAAAATTTCCAAAGGTTCCCGTAGCGGACATGGGCGAAACTGTGCGGTTGAGATTGAGTGGCTCATCCCCGATGCCCAAACCCCAAACCAACCTCACATGACCCACCAACAAACCATCTCCTTCCCGGACAAAGCATAGACATGTCCTTCCAAATAAGCTACTGACAAACAAAGTAATCAGAAAAGGGCACGAAGGATCATCCCAGCAGTAATCAGTGGGTGTGAAGAGTACCCTTTACAGAAGGTGCCCTTCTCACCTGCTCGCTTGTTGCTCACCAAAGCGAGGGACGATTCGAGTGAGTCCACGGGGTTTTGTGGGAAATGTAGAGCGCGTTGTCCAACTAGACAAATCAGGACATGCTGACCCCAACCGCCATACAATTGGATCCAGGTTTAGGATACATCCTACAACAATACACATCCTGCTTCTTTAGGATGCATCGTACGTAGTCCCCTTTTCCTATAGGATGACCATGGACTACTGTACCTGGGCTGTCCTCATCCCCCGCTACAAATCTATCTTTTCGTGGCCTAACTTCGAAAAAGCTGCCACTAAACCGCCTAAACAAATCCCAAAGCCTTTCCGGGTCGTCCTGGCGCCATCCGCCACACAGCTCAGGATGACCATACTTGCCGGGAACTAGGACCCCAGCAAAAATATATATTTTGTGCCTGGTTGATGGAAAACAAAGGGGACCCCAAAAAAGCAAAAACAAAAAAACAGGAACTAATCCTGGGGAAGCAAAGACTGGTCTCTTAAACCAGCGGCCAACCCATTGACTGCCTCGGTGGCTTCGATGTCCCGGTCACGTTGCCAGCTCCGCAGCAGCGGGGCTGCGTCCACCTGACGGCCGCGTCGTTCTGTGCCCGTTGGTACCCCCTTGTTTGGCGGCCTTAAAGGAAAACCCAAAGGACACCACCCACTTTTCTTGGTAGCTGGCACCAATCACCCGTGGTTGCTGGCTTTTGGTTCGGGGGAGCACCAACTGGAAAACCGAGGCCAATTTTGGCGGGCGTCCAACCTAAGAAACGGACACGCCCATCTTCCATGGCAGGGATGCCAAGAAGACTTCACCCCGTCAAGCCAGGGACAACCCATCGCTGAGGGGGGCGGGGAGCCGGCGGTTCCGGAAGTTCCGGCGGGCCATGTGCCGTGATTTCACAGAACAACTCCAAGCAGCAAATCTAAGAGAGATGGTTCCCCCATTCTGTTCAACCATCGTTCTTCAGTTTACCTTGGCGCTTGAAAAACGGATTGAAAAACGGGTGGGTTGATTCCCCATTCTGTGGTACCCCTAGAGCAAGCCAAGAAGAGCAGTAGAAGCGCCAAGGTAAACTGGCGCTTACGGGGCTGCCAAACCTGAGCCAACGCTCCTGAACTACTTCCCAAAGGCAACCCAACGCGACAAGACGGGTTGGGGACGGGGTTGCTCTTGGACTATTCCGACTATTCGCCTTTAGAACATAGAGGGACCCCCAGGAGGGGTTCTACGCTAGGAGGGTTCCTGCATTTTCATAGCGCCCACATGCCATGCTGAAGAAAGGGAAGCCCTTTGCGGATGGTAGAAGGGCGACAAACATTGCCATTTTAAGGGAACCTCGATTTGGGAGTAAAAGGGACACCAATAGGCAACCAAGTATTTTAGCGCACCCCTATTTTGAGAAGCTGCCATTGTGACCGCCCCCCCCCAACAAACAAGGCAGAGTTCAGTTGGTTTTTCCTGCGAACACCAACTCACTCGCCCTTTAAGCCCCTGGAAGACAGTTGCCAACCCTTCAAACCTTCACTCAAAGTGCAACCAAATGCACGCAGCTTTCAATTCTACCAGTCCGAAGCCTGAAACAACTTGCTGATTCTCAGTAGGGAATGCGGGAATATCACCCCCATAACCCCTTGCCTATGGCTTCCGTTCAACCCCGGAGCGGGTCATTCCCCACCTCTCGCACCAGCCAAACCACGCGAATCCCCTCGGAGGCCTTGAGCTCGCTGTGAGCCGAAGCCATGCTCGCTGCCACCAAATCTCATGTCTGATCGGGGATTGGCCCAAAAAAAAACGCTTAGAATGGTCTAAACTTCTAAACCCAAAAAGTGGTGAAGTCCAGGAACTCAGGAGTCATTCTACCGAAAAGGCCGCCAAAACAGGAAGTCAACAAACAACGAAGCAAACCAAGCCGGACCGCCACACAAAGCAGCCGAACACCGTGAGAAAAAAATGCTCGCTCGCCTCGGGTTGCTGCAAGCACCGCGGCAGCTCTCGCTCCACTAGATCTAGGGCCTGCTGCATTTGCCCACAGGAAAAGTTGGATGATGTTGGATGATTTGAGGGCTGACCAACTGACAAAAGTGGCTCTGAATTCAACAGGCAATCCTCTACAAAATGCGTGGCCTAATTCTGGCGTGTGAGTCACTGACAAACTACTGGTTTGGGGAGGGCCAGAAGGGGAGCGAAACAGGCGAAGCAACACAAATGTCCCATGTCCGCTCGGGAAAAACATCCCGCTGGGTCGCTTTCCGTCGGTCATTTTTGGCAGGAAATTGCGATTGCGTTTCGCGTAGCCTTTTCACCCATTCTCAACAGCAAAAAGGGCTTCCTGCACACGGCCGTTTTCTTCCTTTGAAACCTTTCTTGAATGCCGCGCAATGGTTTTGCGTGGGAATTCTCAATGTTTTTGGCCGCGCCCATCTTCAGTAATCGAAACACTCATGTTTCTAGAGACCCAAAATGTTTCGTTTTTTGGGTTTGGACCCCTGGTTGCTGAACATTGTGACAGCATTGCCTTCGGATCACTCAACTTTTGTTAGGTGGGATCACTTGGGCGGGGGCGCTTACCATGTGCTGGGTGGGATCACTTGTTGGGTGTGTTGGGTGGCGACGGGACGCTTACCCTGTGTTGGGCGGGGGTGCTTCCCACGTGCTGGGGCATCACTTGGGCGGGGGTGTTTACCGTGTGTTGGTGGGATCATGCTCACCATGTGTTGGGTGGGATCACGTGGGCGGGGGTGTTTACCATGTGTTGGGTGGGAGCTTACCATGTGTTGGGAGGGCGATTAACATGTGTTGGGACCACTTGGGTGGGGGTGCTCACCAGGTGTTGGGTGGGATCACTTGGGCAGAGCGTTTACCGTGTGTTGGGGCATCGCTTGCGGGGGAACCATTTGGGTGGGATCACTTGGGTGGGGGTGATAACCATGCGTTGGGTGGAGGGGGGGGGTGTTTACCATGTGTAACCATGTGTGGGGTGGGATACTTGGAAGGGGGTGCTTACCATGTGTTGGTTGGGGGCGCTTACCGTGTGTTGGGCGGGATGCTCACCATGTGCTGGGGCATTTGGGCGGGGGGCGCTAACCATTGTGCTGATCACTTGTTGGGGTGGTGTCTTGGCTGGGACCACGGCAGGGGGTTCTTTTGTTGTGGGTGCGTCACTTGGGCGGGTTTATCATGTGTTGGGTGGGATCATTTGTTGGGTGGAGGGTACTTACCATGTGTTGGGTGGGACCATGTGTTTGTCGGGATTGTGTTGGGTAGGATCATTTGGGCGGGGGCGCTTGCCACGTGTTGGTGGGATCACTTGGGCAGGGGCGCTTGGCATGTGTTGGGTGGGATCATTTTCTTGGAATCACCTTCTTGCGATGTGTGCAAAACGTGGGCTTTGCACTGACGGTTTCCGACCCGACAGCCAAAACGTCTGTCCGGGGCTCGTCTGTTGAAGAAGCAGACCCTCCCGGCCTTTTTAAGCAGAACCGAAAGACAGTTCGAGAGCGTCGAAGCTGGTTGCCGCTCAACAAAAAACACCACTACCCCCTCGTTTCGAGGACCACCAATTCAAAGTGGGGAAAGCTGCCAACACCCCATTCTTTCTTGTGTAAGCGAAACCCACCAAGGACCCCCATCTTGGTGTTTGAAGGGAACCACAAGCCTAGGAGAGAAGGGCACCAGGCTTGCTAACTCGTCTACATGCCACATACAGCCGATGCAACCTGGTTCAAAACCCCTGGGTTCAAAGCTAAGTTCATTTCGGGTCCCACCGCCTCTCTACAAGGCAACTAAGAAAGAGCCTGAAACGTACGAAAGTTTGGCGGTGAACATGCCGGTACCCTTGAGGACAAGGGAACATGTGGCCATGGGTCAAAACCCTTTACCCCCAGTGAACATCCCAATCCCCACTAAAATAGACTAAAATGGAGGTGCACCTACCCCAAACAAGAGCAGAGGTTGCCTTGCCATAGAAAAAGGAGTCGAAAAAACAGAGGGGCACGAGGGATTGCTGAAGTGATTGGTCCAAATCAAGGCGGTCCTTTCGCAACTTTCGGGAGAAGTGGTGGCCCCTGAATCGGAAAACCCTCGGGGTTTCCAGGGAAAGACAGCCTGGGTTGGCCTGGGACCCCTGCAAGAAGTGAAGTTCAACCTGTTGCTAAGTCGGGAAAGTGAATAAAATCCAAGAGTTGAACAGCTCATTTGGCTGTGGGTCAAAACTTTGTACCCCTGGTGAACATCAACATAGGTTGCAAATGGATGTTCGTCCACCCCAAAATGGAGCCATAGGTATGCCCCATGGCCCATGGCCATTTCTATAAAACCCAAAGGGCAAAGTTTCAGTCTTCACGGGCGAAGAACAGCCGGACTTGACCATGCCCTCCCGCACACCACATGGAGGGAGGACACGCAAAGCCAGTGCGTTGACCCTAGAACGTGGCGATGGCATATTTCACTTGACAGCGGTTGGAAACCAAGATCTTCCGAAAGGTGCAAAGGTGAGTTCGGTCAAAGTTTGTTGCCCCAATCAAAAAAGTGATATGGTGATTATTGCCCATATTGGGAACCTAAATTCCTTGAAATGTAGATGACGTGTCAAAGCAAATCGTTACCAAGAATGGTTTCTCGTGTCAGTTGTGCATCAAAAGTGAAACAGGTCAGCAAGCGAGCCTCGCGCTTGGCTGCAACCGCCTGGTGGTCCAAGCCTAAAGCAGTCATCGGCTGCGCGTCTGCGCAGCCGACGACCAAGAACGGGTCTGTCCCGAAAGGGGAACACCAAAGCTATGTGAATATTGCTCCCCGCAACAAGAATTTAGGTGGGGAAACACACACCCCACCCCACCCACCCCACCCACCCCACCCACCCCACCCACCCACCCCACCCACCCCACCCACCCCACCCCACCCACCCCACCCCACCCACCCCACCCAAATGTTCAACCGAAAAGCAAAAGTCCGAAGATCCAAGAGCAGCCGGGACTAGGGAAGAGAAGGCTGTGAATTCCATGGCTTCCCCTGTTCCTTCGCAACTTTTGATGTGTCCAAAGCTGGGAGACGCAACCAACTGCGTCTCTTCATTGCGGTCCCTCAAAAAAGACGAAGGAGTACCTTCAAAACAGATACCTGAGCCCATTAACCCATTTCCCAGGAAAACATGCACCGGTATCCCAAAAAAGAAAAGTCAGAGCACCTTTTCAGCGGATGGACAAAATCCGCTTCGCACCAATTGGTAGGTGGCTTGTCCTAGTATAGGACTTGATCCCAACTGGTACGGGATTTGTCCAGTCGACAGTATCAATCATGTCCACAGGGGAAAGACCACCATTCACGGAATGAACCGGACCCTCTCCGAAGCATCACTTACATAGTAGTTTTGACCGCCAATCATTTGTGTGGGAATGTCCCATTGCCATTCATAGCCATTCGGAGAATCAACGCCAGCACACGTCAATGATTACAACCAAAGTGAAACGAGTGGAACCCGTCAATCTTCACCAAACCACAAAAAGGACACCTGTAGTAGCCTGCGTGAATGATACTGAAAGCTAGTGGAGCATCCAAAATAAAACATGGCTGGAAAGGGCTCATCACACTTCAATAATACAGAAACAACCCATTGCCAGGGCCAAAGATAGTCAGGCCACGCATCGCCGCGGCGCGCTCCAGCGCTTTGCGCGTCTCCGTTACTCCCCGTGCTTGAGTCACGGCGTCCAGCATGAACCTGACGGCACCAAAAGAATCAAAGATCTTGGCATGGAAGCTGACTGCGTACGGAGGACATAGGTCGCCTTGCTTCGCACAAAGAGCTACTGGGTCATAAGTCGCAAAGCTAGCCTCGAAATCAGCGGAGCTACACCCAGCGGAAGGGGGGGTGGCCCTATTTCTGTGTGCAAGAGGAAATCCAAAGCTGTGCCGTGGTTGGATGGGAAACATGCGGGGCTTCAATCTAGACGACCCAAAAAGAATGATCGTATCGCAGAAACGGTGTCCTTTCTCAGTGGGGATCCCTTTTGGTTGGTTTTGACAGGGAACCGAAAGGAAACCCTTTGAACTTGACACAAATTGTTAATCAGGATTGCCCAAAGAAAGTTGCAAGTGGGCGGACATTCACCCAATCAAGTGTTTTGCAGTTGGCCCCATTACCCGAGGATTCGTCTGCTTCAAGTCTAGGGCGAGAACTCTCATGGATGGGTTGAAGCTTCGCTTTTTTCCCCAGCTGCGGCTTGGTCAACCAGCTGGCGCCTTCACTTTGGCTCGGAGTTTCTCCTCGTTGGGTACCCCATGGACCGAGAAGCTGCATCTGTTTGAGAGCCCAAGGGGGCTCTTTGGAGCATGCCTCAAACTCGGGGCACCCCGAAACTGGCGCTCGGTGTTCCTTTTGCTGTCCCTGCAAAACCACAACGGGCGAGTGACGAATCGACTATTCTCCGATGTCCTGCCTTCTTTGGTTTCAATCATCTTGAGAGCCGCGGACAAAAGTACGTGATTCCCCACAAGAAGCTGCATTTTTGTTTGGAGAATCGGGTGGGCCCTCGGGTTTGTGCCAGACTAACAAATAGGCCAGGGACGGGTCAAAACCAGTGGCATCAACCCCAGATCGGGTTGGTAACTTAGATAAGTTCCCTTCTGCCAGTATAGTGTGTACCAAGTCTTTTCCCACAAGTGCGAAGCGTATATTCAGAGCTTGCCACAAGGGGAGCAATCGCAACTTAGTGGTGACCAGGCGCCATCTTCTGGCCCAAGAGTCCTATCCCTCTGGCTCCCCATGCTGCTTCGAATCAGGGAAAGTGTGGCCGAGTTGTTGCCTCAAGGCTTGCCAAGGCCGTCTTCGTCTTGCCAGGGATCCCCTCGTACAAATTTCTGTGGCCACACGAACTTCCCAAAAAAAAAACGACCGGCGCGTCAAAAGTCGCGGGCGAAAATCGATCGTCAGACCTTTGCCTGATCAACATCACTCCCCCCATACTCCAAATACCCGGTGTTTGAAGGAAGGAAAATTGGACAACCCCGGATTCTCAGGGTGATTTTACCAAAAGGGAGGGTCTTTGCAGGGGTCAAAACCCAAGGTGTCAAGTCGGCACCCGGCCTTCTGCGCGCGCCGGTCATCAAGACATATGCCTCACCTCGGCGGCAAAGTGCCGAAGTTGGGTATCAGTCACCAAGGCACATACTGTGGATGGACGAAATCCATTTCGCACCACCTAAGAAACCCGGGAAGAATGATTCCCTGGGAAATACCAACAAACAATGGCTTCTTATGGTTTCTTAGGTGGTGCAGGATTTCGTCCATCCGCAGTAGTCAAGGGCCATGTTGAGAACAAGAGCTGCGGCCCTTTGGTTATCCTTTGGAAAGATGCTGCAGGTCATGCTTCCATGCTCCCGAAGGATGCTTCAGGATTCAGGGGATTGCCACTGAAAACTCTAAAGAGTAGATGTGTGAAGAGATTTGGACCCAACAAATGGAATTGGTTTCACAGGATGAATTCATTTTAAGCAAGCAAGCAAGCGCGCACCGCGCGCACACGCACGCACGCCCACGCACGCCCAAGCACGCCCACGCACGCCCACGCACGCACCTATACATATATAAATGCATATACATCTACAAAAAACACATCTGTTTCGTCCAACCCCCCACCCCCAACAAACAAGAAAAGGCAGCGCTTTCTTAGCTCGGTTGCTTTCTGCTCCCCTGCTAAAAGTTTAACTTTTAGCAGTATGGAAAGCCCATTAGTTGGCACAAAGTCAAAGTCCTAAGATCCCTTGGCAAAATGCACCTCTGTTTTGGTGTCCCTTACCAACCTCAAGCAGGGTACTCTGAACAAAGGACCTGAAGCAGGGTAATCCAACTCCGACAAAATGCACCAAAGAAATGAGGAAACCACCACTAAACCCACTAAAAACCGAAATCTGGATGGCTGGGAGCCAAAAGTTATCTGACAAAATGCCAGCTTGCGGGAACTTGTTCCCAACCACTCTTGTGATGCCGTTTTTCCGAGCTGAAGTGACAGAATGCCACCAAGAGAAGGGGAAACCCCAACAACGCGCCGCATCCGTCCGCTCGCCGAAGCGGCGATTGGCCGCCCCGAAGGCCGCAATCGCCGCGGCGCTCAGCGGCGGCAGAAGGGCCGCGTCGGCGAGGCGCGCGCCGAGCAGCTCGAGGCCTGGGTTGGCCAATTGACACACGTGGGGGGGGGGGGGGGGGGGGGGGGTGAGGCCCACTGCCCCAGGTGCCTATCCCCGGAGGGAACTGGAACCCTGTGGTAGTTGAGGTCGTTGTTGGTCCCTGGATCTATTCCGGAGAGAGTCCAATATGCCAGTAATGGATGATTGGAGGATGGATTGTCCCTGGTGGATTGTCTTGTGGATAATCCTGTAAGCGGCCTGCAATGGCTCTTTTGTCTTCACGCTCGGATGGTCGTGATTATGCAAAAGGGGCCCTTGAGCCAAATGTTGCGGGAGATCAATGGTCTGAAAAACAGAACACAAAACAGACACAAATTTCTTTTGATCTCCAGCACAAAGTATGAAAATACTATTGGCTTCATGGCCTTTGACCGTAGCCTTGATGTGTGCCGTAGCCATGTGATTAAAAGTGCCGGATTCATCCTTTTTCTGCTTGGATGAAATGTCTTGGCCTTCGAAATGGGAAACACTATGTACTGCTTCTTTTTGGATACCTAAATGTATCAAAGGGTGATGTGCAACGCTATGTACACGCGGAACAATTGTGAAACTATTGATCTCTCACTCATGGTATAGTCTTGTAGACGAGGAAGATCAATCATCTGGATTGTTCGTGGTGCTGAACGTATCATCATGGTCAGTCGGATCGACGATACCATCGGCGGCTGCTGTCGGATTGACTGCCATGGTCCCCATAATCATTCCAGGTCGAAGTGCTATAGTCCTTCCACTGCTTCTGATGTCCCCACTGCTTGTTGTAGTCCTTGTACTCCTGCGTGGTCCAGGATGATTGCTTCTTCTTGATGTAATCCGGGTATCTCTCAGAGCTGCGTTTACTGGTTGCAGATTTGCTGCGGATGTAAACCATGAGTGGACTGTGGGAGTCGGAGTCCTGCGAGCCATTCATGAACATTTCATTGTTCACGTGCTTGTCGAATATGGCCTTGGTTGGATGGTTCCGCATGAACTCCAGTTGTTCATCATCCATACCGCTCATCTCGTCCTTCCGGAAATCCTGCTGGATGTTCGTTTTGCCCCATCCAAATACGATAGTCATCGTCACATCTGGGAATGTTCGATCAAATCCTGATCCGCATTTCATGTACAGGTGATGACGGACAATGGATTTCAGGGTGCACGAAGTCTCCATTGCATACTCCAGTCTGTCCACGAGTGGCAAATTCTTCGTTGCATTCCACAGTCTCTGATATGCTCTCATGAGGATGTTCACGAGACCGTTGGTCGGATTTTGTAGACGTGCTGGAGTTTGCTGTAGGTGTTCGCTGATTTGTTGGCGTCTCCGGTGATCGCATCGCATCGGTACAAGGTCACGAGCGGCATGATTTCATTCTGAAGATCTTCCTTTGCTGCTCCATGGCTAAGTGAAGGATGGATGTGGAAGACTCCAATGGTTGCGAATGGTAGATGCGCGCTCGTTATGTGGCGGTCGTCATACTCGTGGAATGACTTGTCGGATGATTTCGGGATCATGCCACGAAACTCATCACTCTGCTCGATGTGGACAACGACGATCTCCTTGTCTCGACATACCCGTCTGTACTGTATCTCGGGGTTGGCTCTGCATCCTAGCCGCTAAAATGCATGTGCCAACCCCAATTCTTTTTATAAAATGCAGAGCCAACCTCGGGATTTTTTTTCGTGTGAATTGATTAAATGCAACATACAACCTCCACAAGAAAAATACCGAAGGTCAGTCACCGCATTTTAGACAAATTATTTAAATTGATAATATGTAAAGTGCCAACTTCAGAGGTTGGAACAATTCAGGATGCAGAATCCGTATATCCCGTATCGATCCGTATTGCGTCCGCCGTTTTTTCCGGGGATCCAGGAACCGCTGCGTCGGCCAGAGACATCTAAAATGCACGAGCACAGGTAGCTCTGCAAAACTGGCCGCAATTTCGCGGTGTGCCACGTCATCGCACGACCTCAGTGGAAACATGTGGAAGAATCAGCATCGCAAAACAGATTAAAAATTACACCAGCGGAGACCCCAAACAGTTGAGAACTGACGGGCAAGCACAAATATGCCAACAGTTTGTGGCTTTCTGCGCTTCAACACGGATGAAGCAAAACGATGCAGTCGTGAACGTGGCACGCGTTGCGTTGCTGCACTTGTGTTGCTGGCGTGCTTCGCACTTCTGCACCGCGCCAGAACTGAGGTTGAGAAAGCGCGTGCGATAGCGGGCAAACGCGCGCGCGTGAACGCAAGTGTGGCTGCGCAAGCCCGCGGTCACATGGGCAGCTCAGACACACATGTCTAATTCAGACACACATGTGTGCACGCGTGGAACTCACATATGTATACGGCTGAAGCAGCACACGCGGCACGCGCAGATGTGCACCCGTGAATACACACATATACATTCACCTGCGGCACACGCATAAATGTGTTGAGCTGGAAAACTAACACGTGCTTCTTGGAAAGCACACACACATGTGTACACCTGGAACACACATATGTGTTCACCTACGACACGCTAATGTGTTCACATGGAACACACATGTGTGCTCACTTGGAACACAATGAAACGCGTGTGCAATTCAAACACACATGTACGCACACGTGGAACACACATGTGTTCACCTGGAACGCAAACACATGCAATTAAAGCATACATGTGTGTACACGTGGGACAAACATATGTGTACCACTGGAACACAAATATGTGTCCGGGAACACCGCCTGCGCGATTCAAGCACACACGTGGAACACACATATGTGCACACATCAGCAAACATAAACGCTTACCTAAAGCGCACACACACATGCACGCACCTCGAAAACAATCATGTGTTTGCTGGAGCACATACATGTGCACACCTGGAGAGCAAATATGTCGACAGATGCAAACAATTTCAGCTAGAACATGCTAGTGTGTTCACGCGCAAACACACATGTGCTCACGTGGAGTCCAATTGTAACACACATGTGCGTCGACGTGGCACACACATATGTGTACACGTGCACGCACATATGCGCACACGTGAACACTCACATATATGTGCACCCAGAACACACACCCGTGCGCTCATCTCATAAACACGTGTCCAATTGGAACAAAAATGTGTGTACACGCGAAAAAACACGTATGTGTACACGTGGAACACACATTAGCGCACACGTGAACACACAAACACGTGTCCAACTCCAACACACATGTGTGTACGCGTGGCCACACACATGCGTTCACGCGGGAGGCACAAATGTGCACACGTGAACACACAGATTTGCACACGTGGACCACACACATGTGCACAGCACGCGTGAACACACACGTTTATGATCAAGCGGAAAGCACAGACACACACGAGTGCCAATCTGAGAACACACACGTGTTCTCTTGGAACACAAACACGTGTCTAAGGGGAACGCAGAAGTGTGCACACGTAAACACACGTCTGTGCACACGCGGGACACACACGTGTACACGTGAACACACATACATGTGCGCCCGGAACACACACGTGCGTTCATCTGATAACAAACATGTATTCACCTGCAACACACATGTGTGTCCACGTGGATCACGCATATGTGTACACATGAATAGACACACATGCGCACGCGGAGCAGACACACACACGTATTCACCTGATAACAATCATGTGCTCTCCTGGAACACAACCACGTGTCCAGTTGGAACGCACATGTGTGCACACGTGAACACACAAATGTTTACACATGGAACACACATATGTGTACACGTGAACACACATACATGTGCGCCCGGAGCAGACACACACAAACATGTTCATCTGATAACAAACATGTGTTCTCCTAGAACACATACACGTGTCCAATTGGAACACACATGTGTGCACAAGTGAATACACGTGTGTGTACACGATTTGTGTACACCTGAACACATATGTGTACACGTGGAACACACATGTGTGCACACGCACACACACACACACACAAATATGCGCACCCGGAACACGCACACACACACACGCGCGTTCATCTGATAACAAGCATGTGTTCCTGGAACACACACACACACACACGCGTACACCTGGAACACATGTGTGTGTGTGTCTGGAAAGCACATGTCTGTTCACCTGCAACACACATTTGCGTTCACCTGGAACCCATACATGCGCTCGCTTAAAAACAGGCGTTTGCGTTCACGTGCAACACTGGTGCAGACCTGAATCGCACAACATGTTTAACCAGAACAAACTTCTCTGTTGACTTGAAACACACATATGTGTACACATGGAACACGCGTATGTGCACATGTAGAAAAACATGTGCAACACAAATGCGCAACACACCTGGACAGCAGAAATGTGGTCACATGGAATCTACATTTTCTGTACGCCTGGGCGACACAAGTTCCCGAAGCCGGCTGTGAGGCGCTATTCCATGAAACTCTGCCTTGAACAACGCTTGTGTTTTATATGCGTGTTCCAAGTCGGACAATAGTGTTCGTGCGCGATCAATCTAGCTTTTTTGCAACACGTTGTGGCGCGCGGGCCTGCTGCTGCTGCTGCTGCTACTCCCAGTACTATCAGTGGATGCATCTACAGGCTTCAGATTGGCAAAAGCTTTCTGGCGCATTGCGCTTCTTTCTCGCTTAACTGCACAGTCTCTTTCATATCGAACAATCTGTTGCTCGATAGAACGCTCTAAAGTGCCTTTATCGTATTGCGGCAACTCTTCGTATCGATTCAGTAAGCATTTGCCTTCGCAGGGAAATACGCAACCCAATTCTTCCGTACGCTCGGCACAAGGCATTTTTGCCTTCTCGCCTCAGCCGCTTTTTCATTCCATGGTAACTGCATGCGAGGAGAGCCGAAGCAAATTTGAATTGAGGCGTAACTGGGAACCGGTCACAGCTGACCACTGCGCTAGCGCCTTGTTAGCGCGCGGCTAGCGCGGGTTTGCAGTTTTTGTTGGAGTCGCGGCGACCATCTGTGCGCATTTGACAAATTAAGGCCACGTAGCGCA